CCTCTGCCAGCCTCAGCAGACCGACCCCAGTTTAAGTCCCGCGCACAAATGTTTTCTTCGCACCGTTTTATCCCCATGATGTATGACCTTTCATCCCCCCCCCCACCACATTGGGCGGGATCCTAACTGGTCGACTGACTACCTAAACGCGCATGCGCGAGCTCACGTGAATATGCCCCAGGCGTACCTGTTGGCCCACGTGTATGCTTGGCTTAAGTACTTTTAGCTCTGCGCCCACTGCCGTTGCTTATGCGCCTTTGAAGTAAACTAACCTGTCCGGTCTCGGCGTACTTTTTGTCCTCTCCTCTAACCTCCCCGGTCCCTCTCTTTTGACTACCCATACGACTTGTTGTCGTCCCCTTTGTTTTTTTGGACTTTAAAACTCAAGTGCGGTGGCAACATCAGTTGATGAATCATTCGCGTTCTTTGTCGGTGTTGGATTAGACTGCCTGCCCAAGCCAATCCAAGATATAGGTGTAATGCCGACAGCTAGGTTGTCTTCTGGACCGTAGCATGGGAAATTTGGGCTTCCCGGTCATTGACTGCGAACCCCGCTTTGTAACACAGTCAAGAAAGCCCCGGGATTTCAGTTATCGGAAATCCTTCACTTTATTTACATGTGCTGTTACGGTTATCAGTGATCCTACAGACAGTGCGCATTTATTGCTATTAGTTAACTTTCTCCATCCTTAATCCCAAAAAGTACTTCCATATCTATGTATGACTGATATTTTCACCTCTACTCAGCTACCAGATTTACAAAAATATAATTGGGTGGATGGTATAAAGCATACGCGAACGCATCATACATCTGTCGACCTAAAATATCAGCACGATGTTACCGAATGGAGCGCAAGGAGGTGTTGCTGTATCTTACTGGAATGTTCTTGCCTTGTCAGCATACATTGCCAATCATTCTCAGCCTCAAACAGAGGTTTCTCGGTCGCAGGCTCGATACAGTGGAGCCTCAGAGACGTTAGCGGTGTGATGACTGATTCTCAGGTGCCTTTGGTAACATGCAAAAACATCAAACGAGAGGGATTCCGGTGATAATACCGCGCATCACCTGTTCATTTGCGAGCAACTTGACCCCAATTCTTGGGCCTGGAAGTCGTTAATCTCGCCAGTAATTTTTTTTCATGGTCAAAGCTGCGCTGCTGAGGCTGCTTTAGTTTCTGCAGCGAGCGTGAACAAGCTGACTGATTTACTGACTTTGTCCACCCGAAACACTACATTTTTGACACACGGAAAGAACGCGTCATGGCATCCAGAGGCGTGTCTTTCAGTGCACCTGTCAAATTCTCAGGTCCGCTACTCCCAGATTCCTGCCACCAATGAGATGTAAGTCTCGACACATTCCTGAAAGCTGACCGATATTGCCGCTACCACGAATTTTACTTTCACCTACCCCCCACTCGTTCTGCGTGAACTTGCTAACCATAAGTACCTTTCCGTCCTGTGTAACCACGATTTACTGGCGCCAACAGTCGGGGATGATTGAATTATTCAGCGAATGGTTGAAAAGGCAGCCAGATAAGCAGCCACCTTATGAAGAAGAAGAATGCTATATTGAAGATTTTACAAACCTGAATTTTCAGCAAAAATGGCTCCATTCACGCAGAGCAGATGGTAAGGTAAATAAAGGGTCAAGCTATTTGGTCCTAAGGTTTTCGAAACTTTCGTTCTCTTAACGGTGGTGAGGATAGCATTGGCAGAAAAGAAAATGCCCGGGGCCTCGATTTGTGGAGGAAGCGAAGAAGGGACTGGACACCGAGCGGAGCGAGAAGAATTTGTTCATCTTTGAGCTGATCTTTCAGTTGTTCGAAATAAGGTTGCCTTCCCCGAAGCTGATAG